TACTTCAATATCAACTAAATCTCTGATTTTGTCAAAACATTCGTCTTCAATATATTTAAGACTTGATGGAATTTGGAGTTTTTTAATTGACATAAGATAAAACGAATAACTTTTAAATTGTGTTACTTCTGAATCATTAGGAAATGTAATGGAATCTATTTCATTTTCACTAAATGCGTATTGCCCAATGGCCTTTATTATATATTTTTTCTTTCTATATATTATATGGTGGGGAATGGAAATTGTGCCTTTTGCTTTGGGTGATTCTATAACTTCTGCTATTAATTCTTTGGAATCTAAACGAAACTTTAAATTATCTTTTTCCACCGTAGTCATTTTATATTTTCAGCTAAAAAATTGAGATAAAAATAATTATCTCAAAAAGTTATTTTATGAAAATCTTAAAATAAAATCATGATTTCTTCACATTAAAATGAATCTAGTAGTTTATTATATAAAAAAAATTTATTTGGATATTAAATATTAAAAATATCAAATAAGAGTTTACCTCATTTTAATATTTGGTAAAAAATTTCCATTTGAAGATATTTGCTATCAAATAAATAGATATTGTAGTGATTGTATGTATTTATTATTTTATTATTGTAAAATAAATAAAATTTGGAAATTATGAAGTGTAAAATGCAATAAAATGCAAACAAATATTTACAAATAACCATTCAAAAATAATATTTGTTGTTGAAATTGAATAATACTTCTCATCTGAATCACCAATGCCCATCGAAATTTGTTGGCGACAGTTCAATTAATTTAAACGATCGAATTGATCCAAGCCTTCAACAAAAATTAAACATGTTGGACTTAGATACATCTAATAAAGAAGCAAGTAATGAAGTAAAAACAAGTAATAAAATAAAAATAGTCAATAGATTAAAGGCAAACAATGAATTAGAAGTAGTATATGAATTAGAAATGGTTAATGATCTAGAAATTATCAATGAATTAGAAATAAGCAATGAAATAGATATGGTCAATGAATTAGAAGCCAAAAATGAAATAGAAATGATCAATGAAACAGAAACGAGAGATAAATTCGAATCTAATAATATCATAGAAAGATCCATTAAAAGCGATCAACTTTTTACTGATGAAAATATCCATCCAAAAGAAAAGCAGAATGATACGGAAGAAATAAAAATTGAGCATTTTGAAAGACTTGCAGTCAAATTCATTAAAAAAAATGACACAGAAAACATCTACAATATTTTAAACGTTCTTACTCAAAAAGGAAGATGGAAAATTCCGCTGGAATATGCGATTTCACTTTATAAGAAAAAGTGTTATCAGCAATCATTCAATTACTTTTCAATTCTTAGCAAAATTAATCATCCGATTGCTAAATATTTTATTGGAGTCATGAAATTCAAGGGAGAAGGATGTGAAGTAAGCCGGCATGAATCATACAAGATTCTTAAACATCTTTCAAATGCAGGTATTGATAAAGCTACAGAATTTCTTGAAGATCATTTTAATGAAACATTAAAACATGAATAAATACAACTTTTTAAATAAACATTTAGATTTTAATTCATAACTATTTGGTTTAAACAGTTTAAATTAAACTAAAATATACACTGGTCTATATATTTGCAATCAATTTTTCTGAAATTTAATTAATAATAATAAAAATATGGATAAATGGAAAATGTCCTGTTTTTATTCCAAAATTGTGGAATTACAAAATAAATATGAACTAAATTCCGAAATAGATATAAGTAATATGTATTTATTGTATATTTAAACTGAAAGTACCATATTGGTAATTGAAATGTATGTATAAAATGCTGGCGGCTTAGTTAAAATATATCAGTTATCTTAAGAGTAAAAAAAGGTCATTAAATCTCAAATAAATCAATATTGCAACCTGTCAAAATCATTTAAAAAGGTATTTTATGGTATAAAATAAATAAATAAATCTTATCTTAATAAACAAATAAGTTAATTAAAATTGAAAAATATTACTGATATGAGAAATTTCAGAAAATTCAATATTGATTATAAATTATTTATCGAAATTCATCATTTCTCCTATAATAATTGAGACTAAACAAAAAGTACCAATACCCATTCAAATAAATATTTTTTTTCTCCATTAATTGTTTTTTTATATAAAGCAAGCCCAATCATTTTAATGTATAATCATTAAAAAATATTTTCGGATTCATTTTCATTCAAACCACCATCACAATGGACAATTTTTAATAGTTCTTTTCTATTTATACGATGTAACAAATTGTGAAGGTATTTGTTCATAGTTAAACTTTTTGAATGCTGGAGAAACTATAATTTAAAGATCAAAAATAGCTTTCTGCAATTAATCAAAAAGCTATTCTTTGTTTTGAATTTAAAAAAAAAAAAAATAAAATAATTTGCAACCTCTGGATTTCATTTAAGCAAGATGTAAGAAAAAAAAAAATCGTAAAAGAGGGGGTTTCACTCAGGTGTCAAATCCGCTTTTCCATTAAATACGAGAATTTGAGAGTTGATAATTATATTTATATACTATTACATATATTTAATAATAATAATACTAATTTCGTAAAAAAATATTTAATATTTATGAATATATATATGTTTAGTTATTTTATTTTTGAGAGAAAAACTGCTTTTTCTTCAGAAAATTAACATCTTGATAGTGACTTAGATTTCTATACGATTTTATATCAGGTTTTTTATATATTGTAATATCGATTGAAGATATTATATCCAAAATATTCTTCCAAATCATATGGCCAATTTTTGTATATTTATGTTTTCAATTTTTATAAAATTTCTGATATCAGAATTTTTTTTTTTTGAATATGACATGTTAGATGAAATGATTATTATCTCTATCAAAGCTTTACTGTTCTCCGCCTTTATTTTTAAATAGAGCCACTAAGTCTTTTTTAAAAAAATACCGACAATGTTTTGCTTTCAAAGAATAGCATTTTTTTGTCTAGTTATTATTAATTAAAAATAAGATTCTTAGATATCTCTTGAATTTTTATCATTTATAGAGCAAGCGTTAATAATAATGGTATTATTTTACTCGGCGGCTTTTATCTATTGCCCTTTTACAAAATTACGAATTCTCTATCAAATATCTACTATTTTTTATCAAAAGATTTAATTTATATATGCAATTATTAATAAATATCTAAATAAACTGAATTATTCCAATATGTTAATTTTTATCGGAAAGATTTGTATAAATGCATTTGAAATAACTGCATTCCCATTTATTTTTATTCAATAATAAACAATTCCATCAAATATTTGTATGTGGTTTTTTTTGACTCTTTTATACATCTTTTTTGTGTTAAATTGCTCATATTTTTCTTCTTCAAAACAAATTTCATCTCACATGTCCTTTTCAAAATGATCATATGTAATATTTCAAAATTGGCCATATGGAATAGATTAAAAATAATAAAAACCAATTATCTGTCCATTAATAAAATAAATATTATAATTTTAGAAAAATCCTATAGAGATTTGCAGAGTGCTGCCCCTTCTATCGTAAAAATTTAATTAATACGATAAAGTTTCAATTAATACGATAAATAATGATAAATTCAAATTTTGTTTTATATAATAACTTTTTGAGAGGTAAAAGTTAAATGACTAATCGTTTTGAGAGGTAATAATTAATTAACCAATCATTTTTGTCTACCAATAACTAATATATTAAACCACCTCACTTTCATATTTATCAAAATAAAATGCAGTGGCTTTGGCAAAACACTACACAAGTTGGCTTTGGCGTCCATGCAGTTAAAGATCACTTGAACAAATTCATCGAGCCAAAGAGCAAAGTTCTTTGCACTTTTGGAGGCGGAAGCATTGATAAAAACGGAGTCCGTAATGATGTCAACGCAGCATTAAAAGAACTTCAATGCGAAGTCAGATGGGAAGGAGGAATTCCACCAAATCCAGAATACAAACGATTAATGGAAATATGTCAAGTAATCAGAGAATTCCAGCCAGCAATCTTGCTTGCTGTTGGTGGAGGATCCATCATTGATGGCACAAAATTCTTATGTGCAGCAGCCAAATTGCCAGAAGATCAAGACCCATGGGAAACAATCATGGTGAAACACGAAGCACCAGCAGGAGCATACAAGTTAGGCGTCATTTTAACAATCCCAGCAACAGGAAGTGAATGGAATAACGGATTTGTTATTTCAAGACGTGAAAAAGGTCTCAAAATGGGAAACTCTTTAAGCTGCACTTATCCACTCTTCTCGCTAATTGATCCTCAATACACAATGACACTTCCAGTAAGACAATTACGAAATGGTGTCTTCGATGCATTCACGCATTGTGTCGACCAATTCTTATTCCCACCTGTTTGTTCAATGTTCGATAACTTTTGGATGTCAACTATGAAGGAATTGGTTGAAATTGGTCCAAATGTAATTAAACAAAATTCATCACTCGAATTGCATGAACGTTTATGTGTTGCTTGTTCTTTCGCACTTAATATGATATTTACATTGGAAAAGCCACCTCAATGGGAAATTCACCAAATTGGTCATCAGTTAACAGCATTCTATGAAATCGATCACGGATCTTCACTTGCAATGGTAATGCCTCATTTCCTTGAATCCCAATTTGAAGTTAGAAAGGAACTTTATGCAAAAGCAGCAGAATTCGTATTTGATGTTCGTGATGGAAATGTCGAACAAAAGGGACATGCTTTCATTCAACATGTTCGTGAATTCATAAAGCAACTTGGAATGGCTGAAACAGTTAGCAAGTGGGAAGGAGTAAAGATTAACAACGGTGATATTGATAAAGTTACTCATGAAGTTATGGTTCAATCATCTGGAAGTGAAGATAAACCATTCGGATTAAATGGATGTGTTACAAAACAATTGGTTCATAGCATCCTTGAAAAAGTTATTGTTTAAACTAATAACTACTCAAATAGATAAAATAAAGATAATACTATTGATATCTTTTATTTATATTTCTAAAAAATTGAAAGGATAACAGGGTGACTAGCTCAATGGTAGAGTGCATCACTCGCACTGATGAGGCTAGGGGTTCGATTCCCCTGTCATCCATTTTTTTTATGAACAAGTAGAATTAATAGATTTTCATTTTTTATCCATATTTATTTAATAATAATATATTTCTTTCATTAGAGTAAAATAAATAAAAAAAAAGTTTGTATGAATCACAAATTTTCATCCTTAATCTTATTGTTATTATTATTATTTGGTATTTGACCTTTTTGTATTTTATCATAATCACTTACATCAATTTTCAGGAAAGAGCTGACTTTTGATTTGAAATTTTGAAGAATTTCATCGATTTTTCTCTCAGGGCAATCGTAATCGTTCTGCTGCAAGCATTCGTTGTACTTGCTGTCGTAATGAGAACTAATCACTGGGAAAGAAAGTCTTCTCCAATTAGTTATGATGAACTTTTTCAATTTAATTTTTACGAATTCCTTGAAATCATCAATTTTTTTACAATTTTCATTCACGATCAATTTTTGGTTTTGGTCTTTTATCATTGATTTGATTGCCTTTTTAGATCTCTCTTTTATTTCTTTAGTGATTTCCCAACCGATTGTTTCATATTTGATACGAAAACGGTTAGAAATTTGAGGCAAAGGTGTCAAATAATAAGTCATTGAAAAATGAAGTTCCTTTTCATTTGGTGTAATGAATTGATCAGCCAAAATTTCAATTGCTGAATTTATAATGTCTTGAATATCATCTAATAAATTGATTTTTGATCCTTTATGATTCTTTTGTATCGTAAAACGGATGAATTCTTGATTATTGTCTCTTTTATCATATATATGGAACACTTGCTTGGGATCAATATTATTTATTTGATATGTTGAAACGGAATCTTCATGGTCTTCATGTGTGAAGAGATTAAATTCATTATTGTCTGTTACTAATATGTAATCATTAGTAATGAGTGAGTTATGGTGCTTATAATGGCTCCTCAAAATATAAGAGGCGCCTTTAGAAACTGATGAGAAGGGATCCATCGAAGTATCAATGAAATTATCAGGAAGTAATTCTTTAATATGATTTTGTAAGCATGGAATTTGTGAACAACCACCAATCAAATAAACTTTACTTTGTTTTTTAAGGACATCGGGATTGTTTTTGAGAGCTGATTGAATCATCAATGACAAAGATTCTTTGATCTCATTGCAACTATAATCAATATCATCACGAGTAATTGAAATGTTGATCGTTTTAAATTCAATTATTGTTTTATTTAATTTAGATAATTGTTCTCTAGCTCTCTTGATTTTTGCAAGCAAAATAAAACGATCTTTTTTTGTTGTAACTATATCTTGAAGATTATTTCGTTTGGCAATAATTTGAAAAAGTTTTTCGTCAATTGATTTTCCGCCTAAATTTTCATTATAATATCCAAAATTTTGAGTGATTTTTGAATTGCCATAAGTAAAGCCGGATATTCGAATACCACTGTGTCCAATGTCGATAAAAGCAGCAGTAACGTCAAATGACCAATCTAATTGTTCACGAATAAATGTTTCAATTGGTGCATACGTTGTTGTTATAAATCGAACGCAATGAATATCAGCAATTTTTAATGCAGAGTATAAATAACTTTTTTCTCGTCCAGAAAATGTTGGTGGAACAGCAATAACTATTTTGTGTTTATGTACTTGTTGAGTGAGTTGCTTTAAAATAAGTGAAACAATTTGGTATCCTTTTAGTGGAAAGTTGGGGAAAAGTAGCTCATCAGTTAAAGGAAGTCGCTCATTTTGAATGCAAGTTTCCGGATGAATGCGGCATTGGCCAATGGCATCTTCCCCAAAGGACCATTTTGTTTTATCTTGGTAAGCAAAAACATTCGGGGTTGAATCATGGTTATATTTGTTTTTTTCAATTTCAGATTTAAAAACTTTACCTTTACATCGAGCAATCTTGATTGAATCCGTTCCTAAATCGATACCATAAGTAATACTAGATATTAATTGAATCAGAAAGTAAATGAAAACCATCTATTATATTTGAAACTAATATTTTATTCATTAAATTCAAATTGAATGCAAATGTTTCGGTAGGCATACATTGTAGCAAGAGAGATTGTGTCTCAACTTTTTGAGAAAACTAATAGAAAAAAATTAGAAGAAAATGAAGAATAAAATTTACTGAGACCATTCATGTTAAAAAAAATGCATCTTTTTATGTTACAAAATTTTTACCGATCCTTCCTTTTGATGTAAGTCTCGGTAAAAATTATGTAAAAATATAAAAAGATGCATCAATTTTTTTATTTACATGAATAATCTCAAAATATTATTCTCCATTTTTCTCCTATTTTTCTTTCAATTTATTCTCTCAAAAAGTTGAGACACAATCTCTCTTGCTACAGTTTCGGTAGGCATATCAACGAAAATTTTGATCACAAAAAGTTAATAAAAAATAATCAAAAATATAATTATATCTTTTTGTTCATTCTTGGTTGACATGCCTCTGGTTCGGTAAAGAAATTTAAGAGAGAAGTACCCGTTCCGCGCTTTAATTCGAATAGTTCGTTATTTTAGTTTACTTAACGATTCTTTTTATTTTTTGTTAACTGGTTATTATCTTTAACGAAAAAAGAAAAACAATAAATTAAAAGAAATCTGATATATTTAACTTTATTTTTTAAAATCGATTTTGACATATTATTACATATTTATTTATTGTTTCTTCATATATAAAAAAATGACAAATTTTATTTGGTCACTTTTTTTCAGTTTCAAACTACACTCCATCACGCTTTTAAGCTAATCTTTCTATTCCTTACGCCAGCCATTTTAATTTTTATACCAGATTTGCAAAACTTTTCCTATTTCATTCCAATTTTTCTCAATCTTACTAATTCTTGGTCTTATCTTTCTTAATGCTGATAACTCTTACTCCATTCTTTCATAGTCTTGTTCCGATTTCATTCCAATTTTTCTCAATCTTACTAATTCTTGGTCTTATCTTTCTTAATGTTGATAACTCTTATACCAGATTTGCAAAAATTGGAATGAAATGCCATTTTTTCTAATTTTTATAGCAACATTTCTTAATCTTTCTCAAACATCTGCTCTCTCATCCATTTTTTTTCGAAAATTAGGTAAAATATTTGAATCTCAGTTTTTTTTAAGACTTAATTTCAATTTTCATATTGAAAAATGATTAAGATATTATTACAACTCAGAATTTTTCACACTATCTTAAATTCTTGCTTAGAATTTTCAAAAGATTGTGATTTTTCTTCTCAATTTCGAAGCATGATGACTTTTTCTCACTAAAAATGCTTTAAAATCACCAACAAATTGTTATAAGTTCTTATTATTATCATTTTTCCTTTATTTTAATTAATTCAATACTATAAAAATTCAATGCAATACGATAAAAATTCAATGCAATACGATAAAAATTCAATGCGATTTAATCGTTTTTTAAGCTGAAAAAAACTTGAAATTAAATCATTGAATTATTCTCCTTTTATCTTCTACAAAGATTAAATATACAATTATTAATATTATTTTTAATGTAATATAGCTTTTTTATCATGCAAACCTTTTTATTCAAAAAATACTTCATATTATTATTTACTCAGATCAAACAAATTAAACAATATCCAATCATTTCTCAGCTTATTAATTTTTGCCAATAGTCTAATTTCTGTCCAACATCAATCTAATAGCAAATAATTTCATTTAACATTCATCAAAAAACAAAAAAGTTTTAAAACATGGATAAATTAATTTTTACAATACGATTAATAACAAAAACGTCGAGAATTATCTCCTATGCCTTATAGTTTTTTCAGAATTTTTTCAATATTATGCTATTTTACAACTTTTTGCTTGAGAATGCATTTTTGAACCCAATATTTATATTTATTATTGAAAAAATCTTTTATATATGAACCGAAAGTTCCCAAATATACTAATGGTATCGAGATCTGATCATCAATATTTGAATGGAAAAAAATTCAACCTTTATTGAGTATCAATATAAATAATTATTTTATCAATGATGAATAATCCATTGGAAAATTTCAAATATCATTTATTCTTTGACATAATATTAAAGCATTAAAATTTCTACCATCTCCTTTTTTCTTTATATTTTAAATATTTAAATACTTGAAACTATAGCTAATATATATTATGTTTAATAATGAAAATATTTATTTGTTCCTGGGATATAAAAGATTTAAACTTTTTATACGTTTTTTCCATTCAATTTTTTCTCAGAAATGCTTTCAATTTTTTATACGTTAAAAAAGCATTCAAAAAAATAACGAACTATTCGAATTAAAGCGCGGAACGGGTATTCTTTGTTTATTTTAAATTTATTTAACGTATAAATTTATTTAAATTTAATTGGCATCATTTTATTATTTATTTTATAAATAAGCTGTGGAATTATTTTTAAAGATTTTTATTAATTTTATTGTAATTATTTGAATATATAATTATAGTAATTTTTCGATTTTTTCGTTTTAAACCAATAAAAATCCTCAATATATGGATTTAAATAAAAACCTTGTTTGTTGCTCTATATCTTTGAATGTTCATTGAAAAAAATACTCATTTGTAATGAGTATTTAAATACTCAATCATATTTCTTGCAATAAATAATAAATTTCAAAAAACTCAACATTAGTTTTTTAACTCTTATTATCCTTATATTACTGCATTAATCAATCTTCTATATGGAAAATTGAATGACTATATATTTTTGAAAACCCTCGATTTTTTATAGAAAATACAACACCTTTAATAAGTCAAGATAAAAAAAAAATATGTTTCTGAATAAGCATGTCAGATAGTCCCATTTTACTTTTTCTAATCCAAATGGGATTTAAATCTGGGATTTATGGGATTTTGTTATTATAACCATATTATTATTAAAGCATTTAATATAACCATATTATTGTGAATTTATTATAACCATATTATTATGAATTTAAATTATAACCATATTTCTGTGATTTTAAAGTAACCATATTTTTGTTAAAATATACTAATCCCATTAAATTGAAAGGGATTTTCTCAATTTTGAGAGAGTTCTAT